TAGCCTAGCCTAGCCTCGCTCACCCTTGTGACAGTGCGACAGGAAGTAGGCGCGCGCGTGCAAGTTCTCATGATCGAAGCGATCCAGAGAAATGTAAGGATATTCCTTCATTCGACCCGGAAACGAGCTCATGTTTGCGGCGATTTGTCCGTGACGCGGAATGACAAGAATCAAGCCGGCGTCGACGTCGACAACGTCGTTCGCCCGTCCCGCCCGTGGATGGAGAGCCGGAGAGCGTTCTCCTTCGACGGCTGGGACTTGTTGTTCTCGTCAATACTGTACTACTGTACTGCCCTGCTGTGGCCTAAACACGCCTGTGTTGGGAACCGTTGACTCGTTTCCTGCGGAGGGCTTGTACGATGTCGACAGTCATCTCTTGTTCTCTCATCGGCCAAATGGAAAACGATCAGGACAAAATGCGTCGGTGCCCACCGACGTCATCCTTACAAGACGCTTTTTTGGTCTCTCCTCCGTAGAAGAAGGTACAGTATTCGAAATTAGTGCACGTCGGAGGGGAAAATGTGTGAGGTTACGAAAGCTTGGTCTTTTTTGAAATATCCCAGTGTGTTGTGGGTTACCCACAGACGAGGTCAAAGGGGACATTTCACTTGGTGAGGAATGGCGCAGAAACCTCAATTGTTTTCATTTTTGAGACCAAGCATTGCAGTGGCAGGTGTCGGTAATGCAGATGGACGCCGGTTGCGAGCCGCCGCCATTACATTCGAAGAAGAAGACGAAGAAGAAGAAGAAGAAGAAGAAGAAGAAGAAGAAGAAGAAGAAGAAGAAGAAGAAGAAGAAGAAGAAGAAGAAGAAGAAGCAGCAGCAGCAGCTGGGACAATCGTGCTCATGACGGCAAACGATCAACGAGAGCGTCCTTTCCCTTTTTCTTTTCTTCGTTTCCATTTCTGGTTTTTGTGCAAGTGACAAGTAAGTTTGAACTTCCTTCCTTCGTGCCGGAAGCGTCGAAAGCTTACCTGAGAGGATGAGAGCAACACGTCCAACTTAAGCAGCGACAACGTTGCCGTTTGCCACGACAAAACTGCGCTCTGAAGAGAATAATTGTCGTTTTTCTGCATTCGTGTCTCAAAAAAAAAAGAAAAAGGAATCAAAACACGTGAATTTTGTTTTTGAATTCTCTTTCTGTTGAACATAATCTAAACAGTGCTGGCTAGCGACAACGTTGCCGTTTGCCACGACAAAACTGCGGTCTGAAGAGAATAATTGTCGTCTTTCTGCATTCATGTCTCAAAAAAAAGAAAAAGGAATCAAAACACGTGATTCTTGTTTTTGAATCCTCTTTCTGTTGAACGTAATCTGAACAGTGCTGGCGACACCGTGAGCGTGTCGACATGTGAAAGGCATTTGACATTCCCGTCCTTTCGTTCCCAAACGGGATATACTGTACAGTACTTTCAAATTGACGGTGCGGGAAATGCAACAACATACTGTAATTGACGCTGATTCACTTCCTGGTTTGGTCTGTGACAGTGGATGGCAATGAGGTAGCATTTTGAAAGATAGATAACACTGGTCAATAGCAGCAAATTTGAACCAGAGATGGCTTTAGGTGTCCACAAATGCACGTTGGTGCTAATTTGGGAAAATGTCTTTTCTTCTAGCACCTCGGGTTTTTTCTTTTTTGTTTGTTTTGAAATTTGACCTTGCCCAAGACATTCTAATTTATAGCTGTGACACTTATGGGGGGGGGGAAATCAACCTGTTGCTGAACCTCACCCGACATTGCTAAATGTGATGCGATTTATGTGACGATGGACAGAATCAAAAAGTGACACTTTTCTGACCGCCTTGTGTTCAGGATGCTGCTGGCACTCAGGTGCCTCGCGGCAGATCTCCGCGGAGGTTTGGAGCTGAGGAAGACATTGCGGGAGTGTCCGCACAGACTTCCTCCTCCGCCGCCCCCCGCCCGCCTCTTGTCTCAAGGCGAGCGATCGTCGGCCAAGCTGAAGCTGAGGACGCGCGCGGCG